GAGAAAACTGTATTTTGCCTTCCGTGAAGGAAAAGTTGAGTTCTGATGAACAGCTTTAGTTCCAGCCTACGTCACGCACATATTCATTCTATAGCAAGTAGTGTCATTCAAATTGCAAATTGTGTTATGTGCATTGAAATATAAGCTTCTGAGCTTCATTTTGTGCTTAGAAATGCGCCAGATCATGGCCAGAGTCGAACCATATAGTATCAGGTTTAATGGGTTTTCGTGTGACCAGGAAAGAGAGCCACAAGTCAGTTCATCTCGTATCTGGTATTTCTGGCCTTTTGCATCAACGCAGAATAAGGCTTAATCAAATGCTTGCTAGGAAAATTAAAAGCGATTAACCAGACTACGACTCCATCTTTCGAAGTTGAAGCCCAATTTTCACCCTGATATGCAGAAGCATACAGCATCTGAGTTATAGTAGTAAGTGACATGGCCTACACTGGGCAACCATGGTTAGTGTCCATGGTTAGTGTTTGTGGAAGCTCATGACTGCTTTCCGGGCTACAAGTACTTAAATGTGATTTGCCCAGTACAGACGATATTGCGCAATCATTACCCTCAGTTTTGTAGTCAGACTATCTATATTCTAAACAGCGTGACCATAGGAGGAAAGAAAATTATGTGCCAGTACTCAGACGGTACTAGTTTCTGTTTGAGCGACCATTTCAGAATTGAGGACAATTGAAATCGTTGCAGTAACTAATGAGGATAGTGTATTCGACCGCGCTTAGTTTCGATGTGCAATCCCAACCTGAAGGGTTTCCACGTGACACGTGCACACGATGCAAACGTGAGATCTGATTTTGGCGAATATGAGTATAGCTATCGCCGGCCAATATAAATAACGATTCATTTGAATTTCATTATGTCATCTGACATTGACGTTGAAAGAAGTTCAATTCAAGATAAGCACGCTCTCAGCTCTCAGGTCATGCGTTGAATGTGGTCACGAGAAACGTGTGGCATCGCCGCCTGTCACAACCAAGAATGGCGACAGCTCATTGCCAACGACAGCTGAATTGGCATTCAATTACGTATCGAATAATCACCGTAGTTGGCAGTAACTGCATTCCTTGAAAATTAAGAGTCATTACGTGGAAATTAAGTCTTACTGTAAGTTCAGACGAGCTGAGTCATCAGAGCCAAAGTGGATCTAATGAATTAACCTTGACGATGAGAAACACCATCATATTTCTCGGTTCAAATTTAGCTAAGGGATACAGACTGACTGTTTTACAAAGAGACATTTAAATTAGCATCAGAATCATCGTTAGAGCGTGCTAACTAAGCAGAAAATCATATCATTCGTTCTGAAATTTTTCTATATACACATACGTCCAAACTTTGGATGTGATGAGTAATTTATAGCCACATAGGCAAAATCTGTCTCAGCTGCTATATGTCAGTTTCACGTGGTAGTCCAATTGATGCCGTACCGTTTCTGCATAAATAACAAGTGAAAGTTTGAAAGTTTGAGCTTTAGTGTGGGAACTGACTACGGAAAGCAACACGGTCTGGTTCATATTTTGGTCGACACAGTAAAACTAGTGTGCCGACTAAAATACCAACCACCCCATAAAATACATGAAAATAGCAAGTCGAAACAGAGTCATCATCAGTAACGCGAAATGCTAAAATGCTGGGAAATCTCATAACCAGTGCTGCGGCATGTTTATATGCATTACATCTTAGGTGTACAAGACAAGCTTTTTACAAACTTTGTTCAACGTTTAAGCAGGAAATTGGATGAGCCAAAATCGATTGAGAAGGCTGAGTTTCATGGAAATTTCACTACACTCAATCAAACTCAAGTACCTAATCAACTGTTCGAAAAGTGAGTCTCGTAAACGTATCGTGAATCTCATTTCCGTAAACTATGAAGAGAGATTTGGTATATGGAACATGATGCAGCTGTCCAAGCGTTATAAAAACAGGGAACAGATAGGGAATATATCCACATTCTATATCCAGGCAGATGAACAGAGTTTCAGCCAGTCGAAATCACTATTTTCCAAGAGGTAACTAGACGTAATGTATCACCGGATCAGAACTGCAGAAAAATGAAAGGTTGAGTCTGGATGTTAGAAATTTATTACATTTGCATATAATGTATAATTACATAAACAACGGCAATAACTGACGACGGTATAACTGTTCAACTTTTATATCCTTTATTGAAACGGATTGCTCCCTTTGCACCATTCCACCTTCCTTGTTTCTTCTCAAGGATTCTTCGTGTTGATCAGCGGCCGTCAAGCATCTCCCGACTTCATGTTGCTGGAAAATACGTCGGTCATTTATGTAGGTTGCATTTTTAACCCCATCCGCCTTGCAGCAACATGCTCCTTCGATCGCGTTTGCAAGCGACCAGTACAACCGGTTGTCTACGCGGAAGCACCTGTCTATTTTTGTCTGGATGGAGCTAATCATAGCTTTCTATTCTACATCGACCAAGGTCATTAACTATATGACTCGAATCACTATTCAACACAGTATAATGGAGGTTCTTCAGTCAACAGCAAGACACTACCTTGTCTTCAGTTTGCTGACGTCAGTTTGCTATTGAGGCGACAACAGGAGAAAATGAAGACATGGTGAGCGAAATAGAACTAAAGAACAAGCAATTCAGATTTTTGACAAATAGGGAGGAGAGACGACGATGAGAAATGAAGTCCCACAACGAACAGCAATGATGGTAAATGATCAGTCTACTTCCGGTAGCTATGCCTCAGGGCAGTTTTTTGCCCAGAACTTTGAAAGGCGGATACTGCAGAGCGAAAAGTTCGTCACGAACAATGGCTGATATTCTGGGATATTAGAAATTTCGAAATAGAAAAATCATTGCATAATGTTATATTGCATATTGCAGGCAACTACATAGTATGCGAGACCCACACCGCTTTAAATAAACATGGTCGAACAATTATTAGGAATGATAACTAAGGTCATTTTATCAATCTTAAAGAAGGGCGAAAATGATGAGCAGATCACGGTGGACGATTTAGAGATGATGGATGGACTTTAGCTGTGGCGGACTTTAACCAAAGAACTTGCAAGCAAAAGACATCGGTTAACACAGGACGGCTAAAAAACAAACGGAAGTTCGTAGTAACAGATAGGCTTAAGAACAGAAACCATATGGAGGAAATATTCATTGATGGCGACAAGGATCAATAATGTATAAGGGCAAGCTATTGCTACCTGCTTGTTGACTAGTCGAAACAGACAGTCCTCAACTGTGCGTTGAGTTTCTTGCTCTGAAGTATTCGAGAAAAAAAATCACCGCAGTAACTTCAAGACCGAATTATGTTCTGATGATAAAGATACTAAGTACGTTATTGTTATCATCTCAATCAAATGCTAGCAGGTTTTGCATTAAAAGTATCTGCGACCAGCAGATGGCTCTCATAGGAAACAATGGTTTTGACGCAGTCCAATATTCTTTTGGGATCGGTTGATTCAGTCAGGGTCCTGCCGGTCTCATGTTTCATCCATCAGATTTTTCAAACCGCACAGTACATAAGCGCCCATCTGTTCGTAACCAGAAGCCACCATCGCGCCATGAGAATATTTGGTAGACGGCAATGTTGGAGGCAGTCAAGATGAATTTCATTATGTTTAAGGACCGAAGATGTTTTCAGATCGTAGACAATCACTGCCAATAAACTCATATTCGAGATATGCATCTTCTTTGTTGTTCTTGCAGTTCGATCTTTCATATTTCATACAGCGGCCAGAAGTTCACCGGCTTATATCAGACGGCTCCCCTACTGTAAGAAAACTGTTAATTCGAGTTTGTCATCTTTTTCACCATGATGCTACATAATCGCTTTTAGTTTATGATACCGGATTGAAGCGGCGTGAGCATCGTCCCTTGCTTCTAGTCGCCTAAGGGACCATTTAAGCAGGCCACGGCTCCATGGCATTTGAGCACCTGCAGTGCATGGATGCAAGACCGCATCTCTAGGCTGTGTCGAACAAAGGCGTGTTCGGACACCTGCAAATATGCCACTATCCGTAAGCATATTAATACAGAAAAAATATACTGCAAATGCTTAAACATCACGGAGCCGTGGCCCGCATAAACGGGCCCCTGGACCACTAGAAGTATAAGGGGCCAGTGCTGACCCCGCTTCAATCTGGTATCAAAAACAAAACAGGATTATATATCTTAGCGGCGTATTGGAAACTAGCAGTACGCTAGTAAACCAATATGATCAGGTTAATTTAATGTATCTATACGATGTTATATAATCTCGATAGTTTCATCGCAGAAGCGTAGACAATGAACAAAGGAATTGGCAATAAAACTAAATACTATCGCCAGCGGTATGCGAAACTGAATCCTCCGCCTTTTAAAGATGAAAAGAAGCGTCGGGTTACCACCTTCCGGTAATATGACCAAAATATCACAGTGACATCTGGAAAGAAACGCAACACGAAAGAAATGAACATAAGTGAGATGTAAAGCTTAGCAGTTCTTGCACATTGTTTAACGGTAGCCGCTGTGTTCTAAGGGCATGATTGAGTTCTATAGTTGCGTGGCAGAATTTCATCTGAGATTTCAGGTCAGCGAACGCTACCGCTCTATAGGCACACTCAATTGATGATTCACATACAGTATTATCTTTGGATCTCGCTATATTTAGTACGAGAATATACTGTTAACTTTCTTAGGATGCCATTATTGTGTGCGATGCGCTCCGAAGCACATGAACATGACACATAATTAATCGAAACATTTGGATCACATTACTCTATGTCATCTTCGAACCTTCTGCTTATAAATATAGTGAGATGCCATTAATATAGTTGGTTTCTTTTCATATCAAAAATATGCCAAGCGGAACCTCCTAATAATAAGAAACAGCTACTAGACTCGAGAGTTTCGCAAATCGCTCAGTGTTCATCTGAGAAGATGAATTAGTTTCGTACAGTACTCTAAGAATGCTGCTCATGAATTTGGTATTTGATTTTGCAACGAATCTGATAATCTGCTTGCCTTTTTCAGGACATTTGCAGTGAAACGTATGCGAAACTACCAGCACTGCCGCAGCAAATTTGGGGCAAGCTGGTGTTCATGGAGATGAATCGACGAGTTGGCAAACTTTATGTACGTCAACCTTCGATAATCATCGATGGATCTGATATCCATTTCGATGGGCTGAGGTAACGGCCATATTCAGAATAATAGAATATCTCAAATGTTTCTTCGTACACACTATTCGAAATAAGGTAAAGAAAACATGTCTGAAGCCGTTAACACACGCATTATGAAGCTAGGATTAAGTCAGATATGCAAAATCCTGTAAACGTTCAGAATTGCTGGAAGGAAATTCATGCGATACATGGTGAAAATTAAATTAAAATTTTATTTTCTTTGAACGTGGTACAAAACTTCTTTACGCGAAAGTTGATAACCTTCTTTCTCTTATTACAAACAGGGATACGATGCTTTAAAGTTTCGCTGACATTTATACCTCGTGCACATTAACGTTTTGGGCCAATCTCAGTTTTTTTTCGAAGTTGTAATATTTTGCAGGTAGAGTTGACCTTCAGATTCTGGTAGGTGATGCTACTAGAGTTGACCTGAGTGACTGAAGATGATGCTCTTGTCATAGGTCTCATATGACCATTTCGTGCTTTCGGTCCATGTGTCACTCTAATCTGTCCGAGGATTGCGACTGTCGTAACTGATTGCGCCGATCAAACATGCCTCTTTCACATAGCCGGCAATATATTGTTCGCCGAACCTTTAATTTTCTCACAATATATTGTGTCCCAGTAGATCACAGCATGTTGTTCACTAGCATGAAGACTGTCACGTTTCGCGTAACCTCGTTGGGATATTGACTTTGCCTCCTTCTTCCGTTAACTCCCGGGCGAGTTTTCTCCAACATTGTGTCTTTTACCTGAATAGATTTCATTTATGATCGACTTTTCTATTTTCAAGATTTGGTCACTCGTCATGCAAACAGAGCCACATAATGGGGAGGGGGGCAGTGACACAAGATAGGTTGTTTTTCATGGTAGAGTGCGCTCAAACTCCAGGCAGCCCAAATTTTCTCTTATGAACTGTTAATTCCCTTGAAAAAGAAATTCATCCGACTGCACGTTTGTGCCACCAGCCAAAAAACGTAAAGTTAATCGTTCGCTTGCGAATATCAGAGCCAGTCTGGTGCTCCGTTGTGGTCATGCCAATGCATGTGAAACATACGGTCAGCTGTCTGATGTGTGCGTTTTGTGGCTTCTGTTTACCTTGACTCATATGATAGCTGACTAAAAATGAGCATAAGGCAAAAACAAAATTATTAAAAAAACATTCAGGATAATTTGTACATACATCCTTGCTTCCGTTCCTCTGACCTTCTGCCGGATCAACTCTCTACCTGATGTCGCACTGTGCTTGAAAGCAACGCTCAGACTGGCTTTCTGGAAAATATTGGTAAAAACGTGTCGCATAGTTCACGTGCCGCTAAAGTGATATGGAACTTACAATCAGATGGGCAAAGAGAGGCTAGGTTTCGATTTGATTGCTAGGCCTTTTTTCAACATTGTCACTGGATAACCGGTTTGTTACGATACCGGCATTTCTCGCGTTACGTATATCTTCAATCCTCGTTGAACAAATGCAATGATGACTCATTTCTGGATTGAAATACGAATAATCCAGAAACCGATCTTTATGTATCTGCTTGCAGAACTGTATTA